CCAACGAAGTATCACGACCCCACAGTAATCTGTCGTGAAGTGGAATTGTTTTACTTCTGCGTTCGTCTGTTGAGTTAAGTAGTTGGGGCCCGCTTTATTAAAAGGTGGCAACGTATCTGCATATCTATGGGTGTTGCGAATGTCAAGCGGCGGTTATTATCACTTAACATCAGGTTGACCGTTACCTCGCTTGCCTTCTAACATACAAAAAACCGTGTTTTTTATGGTGAAAAGTTGGCAAACGAGCAAGCGGTTCACATGATTATAATTTACACTCACACTATTACTGTTGCATTCAACATGTACAGCATATGACGAGTTGCAGATGCGTTGCCAACATTAACAAATCGGGATTAATTAATGACTCTGGATAATCTAATTCACGTTCTGCTAGGCCTAAGAGATTACCGGAGATTACCAGTTGAATAGTAATCAGTATTGGTATTTGAATAGGTAAAACCGAAGAAGAAAACAGATCAGTTTACACAAATAATATCAATATCATATCGGATTAGTACATCTAGGAATCTGGTAGACGGGGGGAAAAAAAAATTTCAATAGGCATCCTTCCACATGAGCATTGGCATAAATAAACACTGTCGGTTAAAACTATTAGATTATTTGCCTAAATCATCCATACTGCATAAAATATGCACATAGGTGAGACGTACTTTTGGGTTCCTCCTCATTTCAACTCCAATCTAGTAATTCACATATTTTCTTAACGCCCCACGCAAGACTTCGATCATTCGTTCGTGCATTCATTAATCCACATTCGCTCAATGTTGGCATTTCGTATCGAGTAGGACGATCCAATTTCATAAACCATCTTTTATATCGCGGCTAGATGCACGACGCAATTGCAAAGCGGACCGGGGCGGTGCAACGCTGTACGACGTTCAGACAATGTTTGGCCTCGAATTAAAAATGCCGCCAACTTCGGAAAATGGCGCGTATATTGCGCGGGTAATCGCTCGGATCATTTTGTACGCGCGGAGATTTTAACACTGCGCGAGTGTGCGCGCGTCGTGTGTGTGTGTGTGTGTGTTTGAAATAAAGATTAATAAGGCATTCTAGACATGCCTCTTTAAAACGGTATGTTTTAGAGGCGTCCATGATTTGGTTGCAAACGTAAAACGTGATCGTATTGTGAACACCGACCAAGTTAAACAAAGTCATGCCCATCTTTTAGATAAAATTGGACACTTCCTCAACTGTCCTTTAGTTTTATCCGTTCTAACTACTAACTCTCGAGGTTCGCGGGGGACTGAACGCAGGGATGCTTACAAAACACTGCATTATACCACACTTATGAGAGATGGTCTCTTTAAATAGAAAATGTACAGTGAATTAATATGTTACGTTATCGTTTTTTTAGGAGCAAAGCAAGAACAAAAATTGTTTTACTAACGAAAAACAAAACCGACTTCAAATATCTCGCTCTGTGTTCGTTTTATAATTGATCTTCAGGAGTTCCCTACGTATCTCCGGAGCCCAAGATCCAATACCAATGAGATTAATATGTGACCACATGGGAAGCACCAGCTTTCAAATAAAAAGAAAATCATCAAAATCGGTTCACGCAATCGAAAGTTCTATGGTAACAAACATAAAAGAAATACAGTCGAATTGAGACCCTCCTCCTTTTTTGAAGTCGGTTGAAAAAAAAAAACAAGATTTGACAGTTATAATGTCCTCAAATTCCGTTGTTGACACAATAGTTTTTATACATATTACGGAAAGAGAATTGAATAAATGCGTCCACCCGTGCGAGGGCGGGGCGAGGAAGCTAGTGCAATAATTCGACATCACAAATATGGCCGTGGCATCTGTTGCGTAATTATAAAACGATTAGACTCCATTCTATCGTGGATTCCATTGTTGGAGCTGTTCTGAGCACGAGCTCCTCGACTATTATCCGTAAAGGTCACGGTCTGCGGAGGCCATGCGTCGGGAACTCCTACGAGTTTTGAATGTTTGCGATAACTCTCGAAGATTCGTGTGTTATCGCAAATTTTGAACTAGCCTTTGTGGTGGTTATTTTCAACAACAAGCCCTTTATTTCGTATTCATATTGTACCTAACTAAAGACATATCTGCTTCTGTAAGTAGTAAGTGTAAGTGCGAATTGCCCATAAATGAAAGACGTAACGTAGAAAATCTGTACACTTTCTCGAGTGTCATAATATATTCTGCAGACAGTGCGAATCTAATTTGATCAATCGCCGAATGGCTATATAATTATGGTTTAACAAGTAGGTATTCCTCAACGAAAGGTATCTTATTTTGAAGAATAACTTTTTTTTCAGGTCACTTCCCTATCTTTAATTTAAACACATTGCCAATAGATAGCAACAGCATACATTCTCTCTAAGAAATTTTTAAACGATTTTTTTTAAATTAACGCTTCTTGTCTATTTCGTCAATAGCGGCAAACCTAATCTTTATAAAATGTTGTATGATTCATTAAGTTTGATGCAGAATTATGGAATTTAAGGCGTTCCGACATGAAACACATCTGAGAAATAATTAAGAGATACATAAGACGTGTCTCTTGACATTTCTGTGGCGATGGGAGATGATAAGATGGTAGAGGAGTCGAGATACACCTGGTTCTGTGAAATGCCAATGTAATGATTGGCTCCATCAATGGCGGGCTCACCAAACAGTCAATAAGGATACTGGCTATCGATACCGTTGAAGAGGGAATTGTGGCCGAAAACATACAGTTAAATATGAAATGTAAATACTAAGATTTATTATTTAAGCCGTCAGTAACTATACCACACTTTTTATGTTAATAATTCTATACAATGTTTATAACCGACTGAGATAGGCTGACTTGTTGCCGCAGAGACAGTTTATTTCCTTCAGGACCACAATGTTGAATTTGCAAAATTTTGAATTCCTAAAATGTTGAATTCGCAAAATGTTGATTCCCAAAATGTTGATTCCCAAAATGTTGATGTCGTAACAAGTTCAATTTACTAGTCCCATAATTCTAAAAATATTACCAACTATTGTCCTCAAAGGGTTTTGAACATATTTTATCCGCCGGGAAGAGCGTAACGGCGCGTGATTTAAGTTTAAATCACCCGTCGTTCTTACCTTTGATGGTTGCTGTTTGTTTTCGGTATCAAGAATTATGACTTCATCGGGCATATAGCCCGTAAAAAGACTACTGTACACGGGTTTATTACGGACTATACGAGCAAAACCATTCTATTAGCGGCGTGCCGGTCAGCTATTTGTTTTAACGTTATTGTATTTCATTATATGCAGTATAGACGCTTACTTGGCATTTATATAACTGGAAATAAATAAAGGAGGCTATGGAGCCTTGTTTATGGAACATAAAGAAAGAGCATTTCGTGACTAGCAACGTGACATCTGCAAAATTGTAATTGTTCAGGACGGCCGATTCAAATTATAATTTTTTTATTTTGGTTATAGTTTTCTTATACATAGCAGTTGCTATTACAATTTTTGAGGTTTGTGATATAATTAGGTATATTAACAAAAAGTATACTTTTTGAATTCATAATTATATAAATTTAGGAAATAAGAGGTTTCATGTGTAATAGGAACGTTTTCCTACGGAAAATGGCATTAACTGATGGCTCACATGTTCATATATAACGTTGTTCTACTAAAAACTCAGAAAATATGTATGACATAAACGCATGTAGCACTTTTTTCAACGAAAAAACCATAAAAAGTTGGTGACTGTGCAATAATTATCAATTGACTCTAATAGAGTATTTTACACTCGTCTATTACATTAGTAAGCTTAGTCTAGTCAGTACAAAAAAAAACAGTGTCTAAACATACACAATATGTCCTTGTACTGCGGAGCACAAATCAGATGGAACGTTGTTCTATTCAGAATCGCAATATCTATAAGTCAGACGAAAAAAAAATAATGTCATCTGAAAGCGTAAACAATAATTAAGATTTTCCGACGATAAAATCAAATTCGTTCTATGTGACCACAGAACGTTATTCTACGCACGGTGCGATTTTTAATAAGCAGTTAATCGCAAAGTGCGCAAATTTCAGAAAGTAACTGATTCTATTGATATGAGGACTTCTGGATTTGTCAAAATTCTAGTTTCTAGATTTTATAGGTCTTAAATTTCTGACGTGACGATTATTTTGTAAGGTGACGATAATTATGGGATAGTGTGCTATTAGAGATACAAAATTAATTCGTAAAATCATTTTGAAAGTGTTAGTGTTTGTATTATTTAAGGAGGAAAGGAAATATAACACATAGAAGAGGTTTAGGGATGGTGTTAGAATTTTCTTTGAACATACTGCTTATGAATAACAAACTAACATACTAATTCTTAAAAACTACTTTGTATAATATCTTCTAGTTTCCCACGAGTACATCGTACATTCGTTAGTGCCAATACATTGACAATTGTATCGGCGCTAACGAATGATATGCTGTTATCTTAATAGTTTACATTATGTTAGCTTTAAACAAATAAATAATTATTGCCAGTCTAGAGATGAGGTATAACTGATGTATTACGGGTTAAACAACCACTAGATGACCCCCACTAGTTAGAGTGACAGACTGTGCAAGAGTGCTGCATATCTATCGATGAAAGTGTCTTAAGATCGTGCCCTTACTTTAGGATAACATTATCCTGTGTTGCAAGGACGTTTTACAAACATAAACTTCACGCGGACAAACATCCAGATGCGAAACAACCATCTGTGTTTCGCACAAACAGTCCCGTGTGGGAATCGAACCCACGACCCCGAAGCCGATACCCTGGCGAATGCGGCACGGAGTCATCAAAATCATTGACTCGAACGGGCTGAAAAGATTACGGTTGTGAAGAAGGGAACGTGAACCTACCACGATTTCTCACCACGCCCCGGGTTGACTGGGAGAGAATGCCAAAAGGCATTAAGTTCGCCCTTTGGAATCCTTTTTATTTTAAGGTTGCAATAAAGTATAAATAAATAAAAAAAATAAAACGTACCGTCGCCGTGGCGCGCGCCTCCGCCCCACCAGTCTCAGCGCCGTCCACGCAGAAGTAGCACTTGTCCGCCGGCTTCCAGTCCGCCGGCTCCTCCGGCATTTCCAGCTTGGGCTGCGTAGCGGGCCTCTTGATCAGGCTCTCCAGGATCGTCTCGGGCCGCTGGGGCTTCGCCGCGCCGTCCGCCTGCACCGCCGCGCCCTCTACGCCCCCCTCCTCGGGCGCGTTGATCTCCTCTATGGTCTTTATCTTGAGAGCGGGCGGGGGGTCGGTGGCAGGCGTGGTATCCTCGTCGCTGGACCGCTCCCCTTCGGCCCGCTTTGGTATTAACGCGTCCTGGTATAGTTTCCATTTTCTTCGACCCATCAACTCCTCGGCCACCCGTTCTAGACCTGCAACGGATGGTTCGGTTTTAGTTTGGAAATGTTTTTTTTTTCTCACTCTCAATCTAGTTGGTTTCGACGACTACAGCCCGGTTCCTATATTCAACGAACGTCCGTTAGTTAAATCGTAACTTATAATAGCTTCATAAATTTCATAACGATTGAATATAGGAACCGGGCATAAGTGACGTCAAACAGTACCGCCGTCTTTATATGTAGTTTTATACACTTTGAGAAATATGTTTCTAGATAAAAATGGGCGCTGTAAAATGATCATTTATTTAACTAATCTTTTAGGTAGTTATTGATTGTAGTTTGTTGTGAAGATAAAATTTTGACAGAGACATCCAACTTTTTAATAGTAAGAAATTTTAAACCTAAATTAAAAATCTCTTCTTCCTTTGTAATAACTACTATAACTGGTTGCATAATAAAATCTTTAAAAATTGATTTCACAGATAATAAATCATACATATACAAAGCAGAATGTTCGCGCCCACAAATTCTTAAATTAAAACGCGCTCCTTTGACATAAGCAAATCGCGCAAATAAACGCAACCGCCATTGCGTTGCGCGCCAAACGGGCCGTTTTATTTTTTTATTACGCCATAAAATATCAGTGTTGCAATTAGGGTACGTACGATCTGTTCTATCGCTTTACGACCGTTCGAAATTCTAAATCACTAAAGCTTTCTACATGTTACGAGCAAAAATGTCGACGACCGGCAATTTGAATTACGACCCTGTTTTCGTCTGCGAGCGCGCGTAATTATCGAATATTAATTGTCGATATTTATTGCGGCGCGATAAACTTTCTTGAATGTGGACATTTCTAGTGTGCGCACGGTTGCGTGTGCGTACGCGTCTAGTGTAGGGACGCGCGATGGTGGGGTGTACGTACTTTGTGGTCGGCTTAGTGTTCGCGCGCTGCCAATGTGTGCATAGATAGTGCCGGCCAAGGCTCGAATTGCGATTTAAATGTATTTTTCTCCCGATATCGAGTATCGGGCGGATGATTAATTGCGTTCGGTATCGAGAGGTCGACGCTTTGAGATGCTTCGCTCGCACGGAACGGAGTTAGAACGGGCCCTGTGTTATGTTTTAATTGAGCATGAAACTCGAAAGGTTCGAGGGGCCGACTAGCTAGTCTTTATGCCATTTTTACGCGCTCATTAACGAGCTCCTTTCATTTGCATATCGACCGTGGAACTGCAACTAATAAACTTAATATTGAAACAGTTTTTAATAACGCTCGCGTTATATAGATCTGAATGCGTAATACGCAATTAACTTCTTAGCGCTGTACACGTTTTTCGTAAGACAAAACGACGTAACAATAACCGTTTGCAGGTAAGGTTTATGTTGTGGAGTCCCGTTACTAGTTGAAGACAGCAGATCAAAAATCGCTATAAAGATAGAACAGCGGTGTGTAATTTTAAAATAAAAAGTCGAGCCCCACCAAGAGGCAGGTGCAGTACACAGCGCACTACGAAAAGCACGTACCGTTAAGATTTGTACGGCAATCATGAAATCGCATAAATTAGCATACGCGGCGAATGGCAAAAAATCCACCGCGTCTATAAGCCCCGGGATCGGCAACCTTTTACCGATCGCCTCGAACGAATAGCCGTTGTATTATGAATAAAGCATCGGTAAAACTAATTTACCGTTACCAAAGAAACAACAAGTTTAACCAACGCTACTAATTTATTCGAACATTCCCATTACTCACCAATCGAGCGTAACACCATTTACGCACTAATTTTTTTATGCGAATGTAAAAACATTAGTCTATATAGAAAATATTTAAATATAAAATAGTCGAATATATTAAAATGAAAATGAAAATAAAAAATAAATTATAATTTATTTTTAACTCTGTACTCTTTTTAAGTATTTTGAAGTCGATAAGAATACCTACGTCGTTATGAATACTACTGAGTTTCGTTTTTTTAGCGTTCTTTTTGTAAATGTAGTCTGTGTACTTTTTTTTAATGTTCTTTTTTAAATGTAAAGCGTGTAAGTAGTTGAGGCTACTTCGTTTCTAAATGGCCGTAATTTTAAACTTGGACAAAAGCTCCGCGGCGATGCGTCCAAGGCATGCAACGGTTCCGAGGCTGTTGGCGGGAACGGGAAAAAAGAGCATCAAACGATTGGACGTGCGATAAGAAAATTAAAAGAGCGCCGAGCCTATATCTTGCGCGCCGTCGGCCAGTGTCCCGCGGATGGGACTAAAAATAAAACTGGCGACAGCTGAATTCTCGTATTAAGCAATTACGTGTTACGTTCAATGAGCGGTTGTGTGCATGCAACGCGTACATTTTTAATAACACGTCTTGGAGGAGAGAAAAAAAAACGCGTCACGGACCAGCCGTTTCTAACTTGACATAAATACAAAACTACAGTTTGATTGACGCGTCGAGCGAGAAAAGTGCGTAGGATTTTTTACGAGGGAAAACGGCCTTATTTATAAAGTTATGATGATGCTTATTTTCTGATTCCCCGAAGGCAAGGGTGTGTAAGAGCAGGTTAAATCATCGAATCATTATCTACACATCTTAATTTTGCAGAGTCTAACGCTAAAATTAAAAATTAAATGATCAGAAAAAAATTTCACACATTACATCGTATGACAATACGATAGGACTATGTCATGTGTTTGATCAATAATTAACGGTATATATTCGCGCCAATTATTATTGAGACAATTTCCAAAAATTATATTGGAAATAACAAAAGCTGCTTCAAAAATCACTGTCAAGATTTGGATATGATCACAGCAATAACCTCATAGCCTTATGACTTGACTGGACACTGACACAATCTGGTAAAAACTGGACAATATACATAAGTATTTAAAGATATGCTAGTTTGCACTACTTACAATGAACGCTAAGAAAATAATTAGAGAAAGTTCACATCGAGAAAAACTTTATTACACTCTCTAAAGTTACCATAAACATGTTGTCTCCGCTATTCGCCATTTTTATTCAAGATGCCGGCAATTAAAAAAAAGTCGGTTAAAAAGAACCTATCGCTTTTGATTATCTGTGCAAGGAAGCGCGTTTTCCCGCCGCAATTTTCGAGCGTCTCGGAGGCCCGATCGTTAGGCATGGTGTAGCTGAAGCGAGACCCCTGCTGGTTAATATTGTAATTAATGCGATGGCGTTGAACTCCCATGGCGTGGTGTAATAAAAAAATAATTGCACGTCAGATCCGCTTCAAAGTAGATCTGGCTCGCTGCGCGGGGTTCTCAACTTTCGGTGGGGCCTTTCGTGGCTACGTTATATGTTGCCTAATGCTCAGTAAAGATATAATAAAATGCGCCAGAGGTTAGCAACTTTTGGTGCATCTCGTCAGTGATGTACGATTTTTTATCATCATTTTATTATTTTTTGAAAAAAATGGCTTTTGATATAGGGTTTTAATCGCTGTGTACCGAGGTTTCCTCCATAAAGTATCGGCATTTTTTTATTTAAAGGTGTACCACTGCCATTATGTATGGTATATAATGCATGCGTGACCCTGAGTGCATTCGTGCGTGCACTTGTGTGTGTGAAAAAGATTCGTATGAAATTTCTACAACTTTATACGATCTCAGTATTTTTGGCACGTTAATTTTATGACATATTTAAATCAAAAGATTCGATTATATCTTGTAACGAATAGTAAATAACTACCATCCAACGTGATAGTTAGTGGTATTTATCTTGAAGAGAAGAATCGTCTTACACGTCTCGGTTTACAAGAATTTTGTATAGAATTACGTATGCAGCATAGATAGAATTCTCAGGAATGATGGATGATAAACTGCTAGATATTTTAATTGTGGCTCTCACTCATTCTCACAAAAAAGATAATCATGAAATTCGAGACAAAATCAGAACGATGTAAAATGAAAACCAAAGTAATACTTTACACAGAGTTAACTCGGCCAGACACGTACTAAGCCATATGGAGTCGTTTACTACAACAATTAGTTACAACAGCGTGGGATTCTGTAATTCATAAAAAAACCAAGCTACGTCACATCGCCGCTACTGCAAGACTAAAATATTCAATTAGCAATTTCTGCGTAGTCAGGACTTTAAATAGGAAACTGACGACAGATTGAATTAACAGAGATATTCTATCCAGTGTCCATGCACGTTGCAAAACGTTGAACATACGAAACGTATAAAATTTAAGTTAAAATTGAACCCGATATAACGTAATTATTTAATAAAGAAAGAGAAAATTATACCGGACGGTTTGGCAGTTAATGCATTTCTTATCATTTATTGATAAGAAATGCATTAACTGCCAACCTTGCAAAGGATACCACCATTTTCAGCCAGCTTTGAAAAAGGAGTATATTATATCGGTTAATTTAATGTTTAATCGTTTGGTACCTCAGAACTCCTTCGTTTATGAACCGATTTTGAGAATTCTTTTTGCATTGGTTCCTTTATTGGTATTTGACCATAGGTTCTGGAGATAGATCAGGGAATCCCTTAAATTCGGTCCGGAGTGAGAAATTTGAGATGTTTTTTGGCAAAACATCGAGAAAACGATGTAGATAAAGGATGTGCACATTTTGACGTGGCAATCAGCCGTTTAGCTCAGTGGTTTAAGCGTCTGGGCGCGAATCCGGAAGTCGCGAGTTCGATTCTCGCCGGGAAACTTTTCGTATTTTTTTCTAAAATTTTAATGTTCTATCTTAAGTGCAGAGATTGGCACTATACAAATTCAAAGGAAAAGAGTGGCTATGTAGAGTGACACTTAACCGAAAAACTCCACGAGCCTTCGCGTTCTGCCCGTTCCCTCACGCAACCCGAGCGTTTCATTCCCTGAAATTCACGTTTTAGACTAAACGTTGCGCGCGGAGAATGGAGAAGTTTACAAAAATTTGAAAAAAAAAAAAAAAAAAACAAACTAAATAAAAAAAAACCGACCACACCACGCGGCATTGTTGGGTTGAAAATGAAAAAAGTTTCAAAAGAAAGGGGTAAATCAACATTTTTTCAGCGGCCTCCCGACCCGTGTGCGCCGCTGAAACTAACTCGTATGCAGTTTGCGTCGGGGCTGGTTCGGAATGGGGTGCAATAAAGAAATTTTGCATGAAACCATTTTTTTTTACTAACGAAAAACAAAACCGACTTCAAATATCTCGCTCCGTATTCATTTTATAATTGATTTCCCTAAGTATCGCCGGAGCCCGAGATCCAATACCAATGAGATTAATAAGGGACCACATGGGAAGCACCAGCTTTCAAATAAAAAAAGAATCATCAAAAACGGTGCACTTAGTCAAAAGTTCTGAGGTAACAAAAATAAAAAAAAAATACAGTCGAATTGAGAACCTCCTCCTTTTGAAGTCGGTTAAAAATGTTTGGTACACAGAAATTTCGCGTCTCAAAAGGGCGGGAAATTCCGTAGGTGTCTTTTATACAAACACGCTCAATGTCAAGTGATTATCGCCAACTTTAGACAGGTTGGGTCCTGGGTACCTCATTATTCATACGAAATGCAAAATTATGTGGAATCAATGTACTTTCGTGTTTCTTCCGGTGAGTGAGGTAGCCGGGGCCCACTTTTAAAAGGTCTACAACCTCTCGGCTGATCCAGATTTCCATGCGTGTAGGTTAGCTTGTAGCTTTTCACATAAAAAAGTATAAATAAGTAATGGTTTCTTGTTTTTACCTGAACACATACAGGGTCCATTACTGTTTTACCGATTATATCGCGTTTTTTTTATTTAGTTTATTTCGAAATTATTTCGCTTTATATTATATGACATGTATAAGTGAATGTTACAGATTATATAGAACGTACGATATGGAAAGAGATAGCAGTCTATAGAATTGCAATCTAATAATATCAATTGGTGTAATTTGAGTGCCTCATTTTCGGTGCGCTAGTCTCATATCTTTGTATGTAATATCATTGATTGTGGTCATATTATTTGACAGCTATTGAATGACAGGGTTGGTAGAAAAAAAGAGTTACATTAACACTCGAAAAATCCGCGGCGAGAATATGGATTTGGCTTTGATTTAGTCTAGGAATAGAACGGATTGTTTCCCCTTCTCTTCTAGCCAATCTCTTCCTTCATTGAAATTAACTAATTAAGATGCAAGACGATTCGCCTCTACTGGTCTCTGCGGAATTATCATACAAACACTCCTCTAATACATCCCCATACAAGATTTTAAAGTGAGTACGGATTACTATAGTCTATACAATCCCGAATCGATGAACAGACGCATAGACGATGAAAAAGCTTTAATATGTAGAAATTCAGCTGTGATTCGCCTCGTCGAAAAAGTGCCAAACGAGCTCTCCACAGAATGCCGAAAAAACGTGCGCCGAAATCCGTCGAAGCCGAAAACAGAATGCTATTTCGACGAAACCGCGTGACGGGCCAATGGTAACTGGCAAAGGACGCGGCGGCGTGTCCCGACTACTGATTGGTTGGGACCGCGATTAGACTGGTCTATTCGAAGGTCGTATGACTCAGGGCGCGTTTGTGTGCGCGTTCCGCGGCCGGCCCAAACGATGGGATGTAGCGGGGCTTGTTACTATAGGAACTGGCGTTGGTCTAATACTTTTGAAGCTCTTCAGCTTTCAGCTTCTTTTGGCGCGTTTAGAAACAACTAAAAGCAGTGCAAATGTGCGAGAAGCCGCTGGATGCTGGTGGCTCAGGATCGTACTTTGTGGCAGTCTACGGGGGAGGCCTATGTTCAGCAGTGCACTCAAACAGGCTGAAATGATGATTATAATTTAAATTTTGAACGTGGCCAAATTTTATAGTTACTAGCTAACTATCAAGTTAAATTCCCAATTTAACGTTTATTTGGACTCTTCGTTTAATATTTCTGTTGTCCTACCAGAAAGAGGTATTAGATACCTCAGTGTGAGAGGAAGGGTGGTCAAATTGTTGCATTAACTAATTTTTACCAGCCTAGCTATTCATTCTAAGCTGGGTTATAAGTTACCGTTGCAATTCATAACTGAGGTATTATCATATAGTCATACAGAAATTATTTCATTTATTGTTGTTAAAATTAAACATTATCTAAATATATGAAATAAGCGTGTACAAAACATACCTTGTCAAATTGTAATCAACAAATTTATCACGCGGACGTAGTGACACATACTAATTAAAACGGTGCAATAATTGCTTTGGCTGGTAAAGTATTAATCAAGGTAATTCTTTATGAAAACTATCATTCGCATTTGGCACAATATTAGCATGTAACACCTGAAGGTTGATACAGTGTCGCTGTATCCTTACTAATGTTATAAATGCGAAAGTTTGTATGGTTGTTACTCTTTCACGCAAAAACTACTGAATAGATTTTAATGAAAATTTGCAACAATATAGCTTATACATCAGAATAACGCATAGGCTTATTAATATATTTCGTGAATTGTCCAAAATATAGGTAATGATAGGTGTCAACTAAGTAGGAATTAATTCAGCCGTCTGCGTGATATTCTGGCGTATAATAAAAAAAACCAATTGTTAATTCCCTTAGACCACGCGGGCGAAGCCGCGGTTAACAGCTAGTAAATTTACGCAAAAAAGTATTTGGTAAATGTAAACGCTGCGGCTTGTGACTTGCGCGCGCCCGCTCAAGTGATTCAACGCGGAAGCGAGCGGTGGCCTTGTTTGGCACATCGCGAATATACGCGCTGAATTGTCGGCATCATTCGACGCTAATTATCATTATTAAATGTCTAAATGTCCTTAAGACCTAGTCTGCTGGGTAATTGTTTTGCCTGGATTCATGGCGGGGCGTCATTCTTTGCGCGCTTGGCTCATGAGGAATTGCCTTGCGTAATGCGATAGCATATTGTGTGTTGTTCAATCCGTTTTAATAAGTCCTTTATTTGATATTTACACGTTATTTGTTATTGACACATAAATATTGTGTACAGGCGGATTTAATGCTTGAAGCTAAAAAGTAATTAAGTAAGTTAATGCTAAATTACAAAAGGCAAAGAAGAAAGCTTATAATCACATTAAGTTATTACACATATATGGTATACGCATATATAAACATAAATAAGGCTTTAATACGCCTCTTTAGGTACATGTTTTTTTACCTCTATACTAATAAATTAGATTGAAGAGTTTGTTACTCCAAAATTAAGGTTTTTTCTTAATTGTACATTATATCTTTTTCGTGTTTTTAAAAAAATGTCTGCCTCTCTATTTGTATGCCTTCACTGCTGTCTGTCTGTTTTGTTTTCGGGTTAATTGCCTAAACGACTCGACCTGACTTTGAAGGAATTTTCAGTGATAGTCGGAAAACTTTTCATGTATATTTAATATCTTTCGTTTATTTTATTTCGGCTACTTTTTGAAAATGACATAAATACACGACGTCTAGAAGGGTCGACGTTAACGTATAGCATATAAGTTGTTTGCCGTTTGTCAATATCATTCAAACATGTTCATGTTCACGCATGGAGAAAAACAAACACACGCACACAAACTTACGCATTTATAATATTAGTGTGTTTTATGTCACAAGCGATAAGCCACTAGCGACTGTGTTGTACACTTATTCCTAATATCGCTTCATCTCATCGAATGTACGCAAGTCCTTACCTCACTCATTGGACAAAACGCAAAAGCGTATACATTTGTAATGTAGTCTTCTGCTAGTTAGGTGCAATTCTCTGGAAGAAGTTGCGTAGCTCAATCGCAGCACAATATATACAAATACGGCTATTGACGCCTGGGGTTGTGGGTTCGATTCCCACACGGGACGAGTATTTGTGGGACTGGCAGATGATTGTCGGATTTGGGTGTTAGTTCATAAAAATGATTGACGTAAGGGCAGGCGGGCGGCCGTAAAATACCTAACCAACGCCATCAACAAAACGATTAAATGTTTCGCCGATCCCAACTAGTTGGGTAAAGGGATAAGAAAGAAGAAGAAGGCAGCGATGATGGATTTCGACCACTGCCAATCCCTGCATATTTTATCTTGCTACTAACGATCGTACGTTACGGAAAACTAATTTGCGTATTAATTTGCGTTAGGAAATTAGTTGGCCGTATACAAGAAGCAAGATAAACAGCCACTTAATTGCTAATACATTTGACAATCTTTGCGTTTCTCAGCAAATTAGCTGTATCGCTCACAGTGTGGCCTTTTGATTCACAGTCACGCGGTCCAAAACCGATAACTGTATCAGCTTCCAGTGTCTTAACAAAGCTCCAATCGCGGATTGATTTCAGATACCGTCGGGATCCCAGGCCAGGTGGGAACGGGATGAGTCAGGCGCCACTGATGTCATTTCTAAATGCATCCCGATTAGCTCCAGCCGCACGAGATCAGTTGGCTCCACAATGAAATAAATCACGCCACCATCCCGAAGGAGTGGCATTTTCTGCTCCAGCCGTCTCTTGATTGATATTCACTGAACGCGATCTGGGTCAAATGTTTGCAGACACGTAACGTCCAGCTAATGGACCAACCACATCATCAACGAGCGGTTGGTTCCCGGACAAGTTGGGATGGACGCGATATTCCCAAACGCGAATTGAAATTAATGCTCTCAATTGATTCCTCACGGAAAGACGCTCTATGTGGTCAGATTTATTTATAGTTTCTATCTTCAATTCGACAAGTCGTAGAAGTATCGTCCGATATAATATTTCGTGTTACAGCAGTTTTCTCCAAATGTAGTTCTTAATAAACTTCATCATGTATACGAAAAGTTTTAACAAATATTCTTCCTTTAAATCGTCGAAATGGATATTTGTAAATTCTTCAGTGATTGCGAAAGCGAATGATTTCATAAATCCAAAATAGTGTTACTTAGAATTGTGATGATTATAATGTGCAATTGCTATATTGTAATATCTAGTGACGCTTATGTTTTTGATTTGTTTTTGTTTTTCTTTAAACGTTGCCCTTTAGGATAGCATTATCCTGTGTTGTAAGGACGTTTTACAAACAAACATTTCACGCGGACAAACACCCAGATGCGAAACAACTATCTGTGGGTCACACAAATAGTTCAACCACGACCCGCGACGTCGAAGTCAATACCTTGGCAACTGCGCCACGGAGTCATTATGTGTTAGAGCATTTTCACATTTGTGCAATATATGAGCTGTCAGCCTTCGGAGCTGATTCCGAAACGTATACGCGTGTCGGGGGAAAATAAAAAGGTGCCGAAAGGCATGTTCTAATTGGGGCCATTTTCCCGCGCAGGCCGGGCCTCGGCCTGGCGTGAGGTGTGGCCAAACTGGATCCCGGTCACCCGATACGGCTGGCTGTTGGATCTCCACTCCGCGGACAATGAGCCGCCGGATGCGCGGCATCTCGCGGCCTCGGCGTCTCTCCGAATGACGCGACATGGCCGATCGGAATTGAGTTTTTTTTCAAGTATCGCGCACTGGCCAGTGTTTGTGGTGTTTTGGAAAAAGTTTGTTCTTTTTTTTGTAATTTATCATAACTGGCCAGCGTGTTGCAAACTTCACAATTATAAACGTTTCTCGGTGAAGCCTTTTCGTTCTCGTTTGAACAGACCAATAAAAAGATACATACCTATATAAAGTCAAAGTATGTCTTAATTGCAAACGCGAAAACAAAACTGACTGAGGACAAAGTTAATATCTGTGACGTAAGTGTTATCGTGGGAGAATTGGAAATTTCTGTGGCTCGTTAGCCTTTGTTTGTTTACTTTTGAGAGAAAATATATTATTAATTACAAATACGATACCGAGTTTTCGAAGGTCGATCAAGATAACAGATTGAAATAAGGAATAAACTGTACGGAAGTTTTGTTTCTTTTTTTCTTATTGTAAAAGTATTCGCCTCGAAAGGCTTTTCAAATTGAATAAAAAAACAGTACTTGACTGCCATACCGTCATGGTAAGCAGTGATGACTTTAAAGATGGTAAAATTATTAATTCGGTAAAAAATCATTCCTCCTCTAGCCAGTATAACATTTTTTTGCCTTTTGTGTCTGTTAACGCACTACGCAAAAGTTACAAAGATCAAACAATGCCCTTATTATATAAAGCCAAACCATGCAAGAACCATTAAAGCCAAGGAAAGCCAAACTTATGTGTATACCTATCATTTATTTTCATCATTATATTCTATTGGGATGGTGAAAATATTGTGCAAGTTTTTGATTACCATATCGGATGAATTTATACTAATCTTGCTACGAACAGAATTAATTATCCCAAAGAAAAATCGTTACCATCCTTCAAAGGATCAATGGGTGATCCATTCCAGTGTGGCTAATATGAAGATTGCCTGAAAATTTCATCAATATCGGTCCAGCCGTTTCAGAGTCCACACACTCACAACCGATTGGCTTGTATTCTAATAACTCATTAATAACCACTGTATTCAAATTAACAACAGCGTATGTCAAATTGTTTGAATATTGAGTCAGAATATTCCATCACATTTTAGAAGCACATCCTTTCATAATAACACACAAACAGATGAAAATGAAGCTATTGAAGTGACCACGTTCTATTTTTGAATTGTTGAGACCTCGGAGTAACGAGATTTGAAAAACGAACGAAATCGATTGATTTTATTCGGACGGAGAATAATTAGACGCCACGGCCGCTGGGAATCCAATAAGGGAGGCGCGTTAAAAGTCAGACGTTCTAAACCGATTGTTATTAGTGTTAGTACAGACTAGAACTATTATATAAATAGACAAAAACCTGTCATGTTTACAACTGATAGCAGTTTAAAACGATAATGTGGAAGGACAACTCAAATAAAAAGCACAACGTGGTAAAAAGGTTATAACAATAATTGTTCTATCCGTACAAAGATCTGTATTGCACACGCAAGGCTTTAATGGCCATGGCAGCACACCGACCATTTTAATTACAATTACATTAGTACCTTTTTAGCTCTAACAAATAGTTGGGACTGCGTATACTGCCTTTTGCGTTGGGTTTACGTCCGATTGTTACAGGGTGGAGAGACCGGTTTATAAGCTGTTAATCTTTGACGGACGTTGGTGCTGGAAATCAGGCAATATTTCGAAAAAAGAATAACGATGAGATATATCGAGATAGTTTCAAAAATAATAAGTGAATTTCTTATAAACGTGACAAAGACTGGCAGCGGACGCTTAAAAAATTTGATACTCACGTATAGTCACCTCCAAAACAGGCGCGACAAAATACCAGAAACAACAGAGAGACGCGTCTATCAAAGGATCGATTTTGCTGAATGCATAATTCAACTCTAATCCAACGAAGTTTAATTAATAATTTTATTTAAACCGTTATCAAACGACGCGAAGGTAAACATAGAAAAAACTTAATTAAACCGCGCGTATAAACGGTTACGCGCCCCTGGAATTCGATGGCTCACATTTGAATAAGGAATTAGAATAAGATAGCAAAAAAAATGTGAGCATTAGAAAGAGCGGAGCGATCGGCGCGCGAGGGAGACACACGATAATGCCGGCACTCGATTGGCTGACCGCTTTTTATGCCTTAGTTCCCCTAATCTTCGTTCCGTTCAACATCTGCTGGATTAATGCCCATTCAAAACAGCATTTTAAATTTATGCCGATACGATCTAATTTGCAACGGGCGTGCGCGGGCTCCTACAATTTTTCTCCACCACCTTCGGGTCGTTGCACGCAACTTGTTATTTTCAATTTTTAATACATCTCCCATCGGAGCGTAGTTTTTAAGGTCAGCGTTTATTGGAAAAAGGGTTTAAATTATAATTAGTTTTTTTTCATCGTCATTCGGCCATTGGTCGGCAGATGGACGGGAACCGGTTTAGAAGATTTTTTTTCTATTTCATCGAGGGCCTTTAACGTGTGTAGGCGGAAATGTTAGATCACCATTCCAAACGTGATTGTCATTACATTATATATTTTGCAGTAATAGTTGTTTGCCTGTGAATACCTTTAGTTTCTTTTCCAAATTATTCCGTACCTTTAGTCAATTCCGACATCTTAAGAAAGTATTTTTTTTATTTGTAGAAATTTTTATTTTCATTTTTATTTCACTTAACCACATAAGATTATGGCCCTTTTTGAGTCTACTTTTTCTTGTCTCTGGACTAATGGACTCGGAAATACTCGTTGTTTTTTTTTTAAAGTCGTTTGATTTATTCACGTCGGTAAATATTTCGTGTGTAAGAAATTATCTACCGCTTTTAGTTTGGAAACTTTGAAGAGAAAAGCTTATGAATAAATAGTCAATATATAATAGGAAATTATTTCTAGTGATTAGAACAATATGCACATTGCTAAGCACAACGATTTTAGCTCATGTAAGTTTTGGAAACAAATAAAAGTGATGAGTTACGTGACGTACTTTCATTTAACGAATTGAAATTTGTAGAACGCCGAAATCTTATCCTTTAAACGAGCAATTCAGTATATATATAATTGGAATCTCGGAAACGGCTCCAGGGATTTTCATGAAATTTAGTATGTGCGTAGATTCGGGGACAAAAATCGTTCTAACTAGGTTTCATTTGTGTTGAAAATGTCGTTTTATCCCACTTTTCAGGGAATGAAAATTATTATTCGAATACGACGGTAAATTTCACCGAAAAAAAAAATGTTATAATAGCTCGGTCGGTAATCGGGCGGCCGCGAACAAACAGCCACGAAACAGAAGGCCGTGGTTCGTATCACGATCATTTACACACTTATTTTATTACTTTTTTTTTTCGATTCCAGATCATTGCTTTCTTTATCTGTTATTTTTTGTCGATTTGTTATTTTGTTATTTTTTTCCCTTTTTTTTTAAAAGTTCTTTCTTTTGTGAAAAACACCAGTTCATATTTTATTATTATTACGTCGGTAAGATCGAAACATATTATGCATATTTCATTACTTAGTAATTTGTATCTAAATGTAATTTCCAACATACACGATTTACCAAAAAAAAAAAAAAAAAAAAAACAAACCGAGCAAAGCTCGTTCCTCCAGGTACTAATCATTAAATTCGCAAAAACTGTAAGCTCGTTTTCTCAATTTTCGTCTATTAAAGCTTGACATCTTTACTGTCATGTTTTCGGGTCCAGTGTTACAGATACGAAACCTTTCTTATTTGTCTTCTTCAGATGGCGAATTAAACCGGTTAATAACAATACGAATAATTTTCATGTCGTTTGTATCATTCATATATGTGCACATTGCATATATATATATATATATAATATAGCACCCAAAACTTTCATGTTAGTGAAGTGTAAAAGGCATAGTCTACCGACCTCACTGCGGTTTTGCATACATCACATATTTTTGTCGTTTTTCGACAAACTTCAAAAAAGGCTTCGACCAGCTTTAAAAGTGTCTAGGTTCTCAACTCGGTTGAATATTTTGCCAGGACTCTGTCATTTAAAAACATATTTTATAAATTGTTTTTGTATTAAGGGTTCGGTTTTGTTCCACAAGGACGACATACGAGAAATCCTCATAAACAAACAGAAAGTGTTGAATATTTGAAGTCGGTAATTGTGTTTTGTTATTAAAAATATCCTTGCGATAATATGCGGGCTTACTCACTATGTTTCCTTTCACCAATGAGCATTTCCAGATTTCAGGGCCAAATTTTTAATTCAAAATCAAATATCTTCATTTAACATAGGATTTTCACTTACTTATTGATTGTAAAAATACTACTACCGGTTCGGAAAAGAAAAGCTACCGACCTGAGAAGAACCGGAAAAGAAACTTAGTAAAACATTTTTTTTACTATTATTTTACAGTGAAAACATGTTTACAACATTTTAAAGTCAATGGACTTTCATCACTCAATTAATTTCAAGAGTAATGTTATCATTTGAATAATCATTAATATTATAATGGTGTTTCGCACACAAACGTTAACAATTTCACTGATACCTTTTCAACGTTTTCTGGGATTTTGTTGTAGAAACGTATATAGTGTCCTATAGTAGAACTAGTAGTAATTTTTTCTCTAATTAAACTGAAGAGCATAGAATAGTCGTATTGGAAAAAAGCAAACGTACATAAGCCCGATGTGCGGCTATCGGTGTATCGAAAAAACTGTGGCCGGTTTTTATGTCGATACGGACAGACAGATATGTAAGTGTTGATGTGCATTCCTGATAAAAACTTCGACGTTGCATGTTCCGCGTAATAAGATGTATTCGCCTCGTTCAAGACCCCGATGTTTCGCGGATTGGTATGGGCGGGCAAAGATACTGAAACGTCTTATTGTTTCATGTATACTTTGGAAGCTCAAAGAGTGGCTCCGTACTAGAATATGAAGCTCTTAATGCTTTTGTAAAGCGTTTTAAATCCTTTTTTAGGGTTCCGTACATCGGTAGGTAAAAGGGAACCCTTATAAGATCTTTTTCTTGCCTGTCCGTGTGTCACCACCGAATTTCTCAGGAACAGGTGGACCTAGCAAGTTGAAATTAACAGATACTGAGGTCTACAGTCGCTATTAGGTGTATAAAAATCAAGGTTTGACTCAGAAAAAAAAACACGATAAAAAGATATGGACAAATTAAGATTTTCTGAGTATCAAAATTTACCTTAATTTTCTTGTACCTCTTTACCAAATATAAATTTACCAGTAGAAGCTTTTAACGAAAATTGACAATTCTAGGTCAACCGGAAGTACACTATCGGTTTTGGGTCGAAAACTTATATGGTAGTAAACGTAGACGCAGAATCACGAAATTTGGCAACTTGCTTGGTCCACCCGTTCCTGATAAAATCGGTGGTGATTATTTGTCAATTTTAATATGGTGGTATAATGCCCATTGACGTTTGCAACACCCGTAGGGTTGCAGATGCGTTGCCACCTTTCAATAATGTGGGCCCAGGCTGCCTCCACACCAGACGAAAGGCAGAAGTATAAACGATATATACACATGTCCACTTCACGCCTGTTTTCTGTGAGGTAATTACCCGGACGGACCAGCTCCTTCGTGCAACAGCGAAGACTGTTGCGTGGCCCTACCACAGTTGAAAAGTCAATCAAATCCATTGATTTGATTTGATTGACTTTCTATGCCAGTCTCCCTCATTATGGAAAGTTATAAAAGCGACATGTACGGCCATCATTTACCAGCAACCAGCACATTATTTTTATTTCTCACCCACGTTACACATGATGGTGAGAAATAAAGAATTGTTATTCACAGAGATTCATTTCTCAAAACGACAGGACTACCTTCCGTCCAAACTAAGTCAGCCGTGGCACGACACGATATCGATATTCCAGACGCGTCGAATAATTAAAGCGCACAGTGGTGGAGAGAAAAAAAAAACAATCGATTCCATGTAACCACATCTCGCCTACGGATCCGCGCAACAAATCAATATTCAATGCGGTCGGACAAAAACGTCCGTATTCCGCTTTTCTCACGCCCGCTCCGCTCCTCGCTCCGCGCGCCGCTCGCTCATGCACAACGGGCAGACTTATATGCCGCTGAAGTTTTTGTCCCAGCGATTGATAGGGCGGCTTCTGCGAAGACAGTTCGTTGGATACCAGTTCTAGGAAGACCATTTCGAGGGCGCAAATGGATGTTACCATCCACCCGTCTTTACGGATCATCGGTTCCGATTAAAATTACGAGCGCGAGGAATTATTACGCGTGCTAAGAATTTATGCACTCGATTGTACGTCGAATAATACTATGGGGTTAAAATTAAATGGAGATAATGCACAACGTGAGTTACGAAATTTGAAAAACGAACAGCCTATATATGTCCATCTGCTGAGCAAAGGCCTCCTCTGTACAGAGGACGATTTGACCTCAGGTATATCACGGCGAGTTACTGCATCAACCAATTTTTGAATAGAATTCAGGCCAAGCCAGACTCGAAGGCACTGTCCAAATAAACCCAAGACAGTGACATTTGATAAGGCACTTAGCGGGTTTGTGACAATGCAGTTGGTGATAACAAAAACTCAGCATTGAAACGCGGAAAATAACAAACCTTTACTTATTACCATTGCGCGACAAGAACATATTCTACCGTTCGACCAGTTTTTAAATATTTTTTGTTTGTCCAAAGTCAGTGTTTTCCATTAAGCTCAGAAGAAATAGCTAGTATAAATTATCATTCAAAAAACCTCAGATGCACTCAAAATCTTGGTTTGTCATTATACTTGAACCTTAAAAAGTAATTACTTGACATAACATGTTGGTATAATAAAATTACGCGTTCAGTCCTTAATAACTTTGGATGCGATTACGTATACAGTTTACGGCTGACGCATCGTAACACGTGCCGTTAAAAAAAAAGAAACAATAGCCATCGGATATTTCGTCACTGGCAGCTCAATCGCGGGGAGTTTATAAAAAATAAAGTCAAACAATAAAATGGCCGGCGGCCGGCGCAGGTGCACAAATTACGCAACGCGTATCGCTCGCCCAACTATTTTAATATAATGCCATTGTGATGCACGCGGCCCGTGTAAACGGCGAACTAGATTCAAAACTATTCCGATTAGAAATGGTTGGAATTGAGCCCGGCTCACCTAATAAGTGGACAATGCCAAAATATTCAAGCTTTTCTATGTATAGAAGACCTTAAAAGTATACATAGCATACTAGTTTTTCGCCCGCGCCTTCGCTCGCGTTGAAGCCTATCTTAGTTCCTAATTGATACTGAATAATGAACTATCGATGTATAATTATTTGGTACTTGTCGAAAATACGCAGAAAGCCTAATACTTAAGAAAGATAATAATTTAGAAAGGATTTCAATGTGTTACGCATGAAATCGTAATAACGCCAAAGAGAGTATACAAAACATCGCTGGGGAACCATTCACGGGCATGAAATTTTGTTATTTTTATTGTTTCAAAAAGAAATAAATTTTTAACTGAATAAAAATTTGTAGACCTTTAAGTTTTTAATATTTTTTGTCTTCTATATTAATTTGACAGCAATTGATAACTTTCACTTTTTTTAACAATATGCATTAAGTTTAACACGTATAAAGTCACTATCAATTTAAGAAAATTACCTTATTTAAGTACTTGTTTTCATTTTAAATTTTCGATGAAGTTGAGTGAGATACTTAAACACACATTACGAAACCTTTCGTTATTGATATTTTCAAAAAACACATGTGTTTACAATGACGTGTACCGTGTTTTGAATTCAAAAACTCCTTTTAAGGCATTCACGGCACGGCTTGAGCACATAAACATATATCGTAATCGCATTTGTTTTCAACCGCCTGCCAACGGAATTGGTCTTAAATTACTTTATAAGCGATACAATTAGGCCCAGAAGGAAGAAAAAGGAGGAACGGCTGAAGTTAAAAGAACCCGTAATTTAATAGTTGAACGCGTCCACAAGTTGTAATTTCACAAAGTTGGCATCACTGCCTAATGACAGTTAGAAGCGCGCGCAAATTCCAAAATGGCCGCCGCAATAACGAAATGATGATGCGTCGCGAATCGCACAAATAAACTTCAGAGCCGATGTGAATTTGCGAAACGCGAGAAATTTCTATTTCCAAGTCGTTAAGTCTCAGAGACAAATTGAAATCGATTGCTTACATGTAGTACCGTCTATAATTTGCACAAAAATAGAATGATTGTTAGTCTTGCTCTCGTATTTTATTACAATATTGTTATTTTAATCATCTATTTAACGCTAGATAAAATGACCGCGCATAATAATAAAACGCTAAATTAACAACACTCTATGGAGTCACGGAAGTTTAAATAGGTAAGTCACTGACGCGTACCAAATTTCCGAACTATGTAGGAACGTGCTCGAAAATTTTGCTAAAACTGTGGCTCCGTTCGAAAAGTCAGCCGGCGGGACGTGAAAGAATTCGATTCGTAATTTAAACGGCAAAGATTCAATGAATACGATAAATTGATAGCGGCTAAGTTCAGGTTGGGGGTCAGCTTTCTACCTAAATAGAGAAATTATGGATACACGTTGCTCGTCGTCAGATGGGCGAGCGGCGGGGGACTACTGGGCTTTCACCGCGCCTTTCGAATTATCTTTTAATCGCCCACATTATTAAGGAAAAGTAGACAATGCGGTAGAATTACACGCATGGTTCATATGACGTGCGGGTGAAAGTGCATCTATGAACTCATCTATTGCTTGAATATAGTGAATATAGCTACAAGAAAATTTGACACTGAGATTTTAACAGATGTAAGTAATGTGTGCTTTATGTGAAACGCTCACGAGCGAACAGGCGGTTCACCTAATGTTAAGTTAATACCCATAGGCATCTACAACATTTGAAGTGCAGAGGAATTGCCAACCTTTAAAGAAGGCTTTTATTACTCACCTACTATGTTTACTATAAATAACTATACTTCTACGTTTTCCATAGGTATATGCTGCTGGCTGCGAACTTCCTGGACGAGCCAGCCACTTCGTGTCACAGCAAAGGCTGTTGAGTGGCCCTATCACAGCAGAAGTTAGTTTGGCTCAGTTCAATGAGTCTGATTATTAAAGACATTGTGACATTGTCCTATAAATCCCCTTTGCATAAACCTTATGTCCTCAGTTTTGTTGCGATAGACACACCAAGTGGTAGGACCATGCAACAGCTCTGAACTTGAACAACTCGAACTTCTCTGTTGCACAAATGGGCAGCTCCATCCAGGTAAGTACTGCGACGTCACAGAAGACCGGCGTGAAGAGGTAACGTTATACTTCTGCATTTCGTCTGGTGAGTGAGGTAGCAGTAGCCCACTTTAAAAAATGTAGCAATACATCTGCAACCCTACGGGTGTTGGGCGGCGGTTATCAATTAACATCAGGTGAACCGCCATCTCGTTGGCCAACTTCTCACAAAAAAAAAGAAAAAAGTTTGCTGTTGCGTTTATAGACTGGCTTGGTGCATGGTACCTACATCCGTGGAAGACTCTGCTATAATACGCTAACGGAGAAAATAATGTATGTGCGTAATTGCGTATGTTTGTCTAATTATTTGACACTTTCACAAAGTAAACAAACATTTCAATGGATCTCAGCATCTGAGGTATTGTTAGATTAGTTTCAGTTGTTAGAGTGACATACAGTAACATTGTGGGGTCTGCGAACAAAATAAAGTAGCAGATAGTAATTATAATGCAGTTGCATATTTTGATGCATTTAATAACATATGCTTGTTTATACTTTTGTTTCCTCTGGTGTGTGAGGTTATCGCGACCCTCACTTTTGAAGGTTTTCAATTCACTGCCGTTCCACGAGCGTCGGAAATTATGCCCTGAGATAAATGTGTACTAACCGATTTCAATTAGCCGTTTTGGCTTTAAGAAAGTGGCTTCCTCAGGGGTGACAAAATTGTCGTGGGATTGGGATTCTTGATAGAATCATCAATGCTGATATACAGTATAAATATTAAACGTAAAATCCTATTGAAACATTTTATCAATTATGTTAACAGTCAAAAGCGTCATCAACTAAATTACCAGCATTTGTCTATATTTCTGGGCTTTATGTAGGATGCGGAAAACGTACAAGCGTCTCAGCTGATGATAAAACAATCTCCAGTTATGGATATATGTAACAAAAGAGGAGTTGACATTAATTTAGCTAAGAAGTTCTCTTATTATGGCTATCTATTAGAAGACCTACAAATTACGAGATTTCTAAAAACGAATCAAAAAAGCTGTCTACGTTCACGTCTTAATATATAAGCTGTTACGTTTAGTTCATCAATCAATCATATACTGTCTGTTTTTTCCATTGACCTTTCTCTTGTTAAAGCGTCCCTTTTTGACGTGTATTGTAAAAACCTAAAGACTATTATGCTAAATACAAAGACACACAAACTGTGTTATAATTTGTTCCCTTATCGAACAGTATATTATTTGGACGAAATAAATTATTTTACGGTGGTAGGGCCACGCAGCAGCCTCGGCTGTTGCACGAATGGGCAGGCCCGTCCGGGTAAGTACCACGATCTCACAGAAGACCAGCGTAAAGTAGAAGTATGACAAATACTTTCGCGTTTCGTCTGGTGAGTGAGGTAGCCGGAGCCCAATTTTCAAAAGGTTGTCAACGCATCTGTAACCCTCGGGTGTAGCAGATGTCCATGGGCAGCGGTATTCACTTAACATCAGGTGAACCGTCTGCTCGTTTGGCAACTTTTCACATAAAAAAAAATATTTTAATATAACCTTTAAAAACTTCTAGAATTGTTTTATTAATATCAATAAATAAATTCAAACAAAGAAACAAATTATGTCTTCTTATAATATTAATTTAGATAAATGATCCAGGAGATAGTATTAATTTCGACGTCGTTTTCAAAGGAAAATCCGCGGCGTTTGGTAATAATTTCCTCTTTGGCAAATACTCTAGATTGCAATATCAGCAACAGTTCCAATAGTGAATATTTCACTTGGAATGTTTTTTCTTAAAATAAATTTCAAAAAGTCCAATTATTAAAGAAGACAGCTGAGAAACAAAGCAGAGCAACTCATACAATTGTTTTATTTCATTCGGACTTATTTCAAGCGTATTAATTCGAAATTTTTGTATCAACTGCCCCACAATATAGACTTTTGATAGAAACTTTTTGGTCAATTTGTTCGAACAATAGCAATGAGTGTAAATT